TTTGAGGAATAGTTTTATGTTGTGCATAACTTATAGCACATTGGCTGTGATTACAGGGTAGTTAGAAGTATTCAGAAAACTTCATGTTACTGAGCTTTCAAAAACAGAGCAAAAATCCAAGGTGGTCTTTTGTCAAAGGAAAGTGCTTTTCTCTTATATTTCTCTTTTTATGTCTAAAAGATATAGACTGTTTATTTCTGAATCATGTGTTATCTCTTGGCTTTTGCCTCTTGAATAAGCTAAATACATTTGTGATATCTATTCATAATAACTGTTCTCTGTCATGTAGGGAGGACGCTCATGGCCTTTCATCAGTTTTAGGACAGTTTCCATCCAGTGATTGATTATCTTATTTTATGTGAATACCAGTTTTTGTTGCCTATGAAATAGCATTTGATCTGGCTTGTACAGTGAAATCAATTTGTGTTTTTTGCTGTCTGTAGTCTGCTCTGTGTGTCTTTAATGTTCACATGTACTTGCGGCATATCTAATACAGAATCGAGTGGCAGGGACACAAATAGGATACTGTATTTGTTTAGAGTTTTTCCATAATCATATATAGGAGCAGATACTTTGAAAAGACCATGAGACCAAAATAAGTGATATGAACATTATTTTTGCACTAATTTACTTCATTTTGTGGTGGTAATACAAAATGGCAGTTGCTGCTAGCTTTTTTGGTAGGTGATGGAGAACAGTCAGCTATGACTCTTTGATATGTCAAAAAGTAGACTTAAAAAAAAACTATGATACTGTAATCATCTGGGGACTTTATTTTTATTCTTAGCATGTGAAAATTAATTTTTAAAGTTTATAAAACATGATTGTTGCCTGTAATGTTTCATTTCTGCTTTTAGTTTTCCTTTTTTATGAGTTTATTCAAATTTAACATTGAAGCCAAATGATATGGAATTAAGTTTAAAAATTTCCCTTTATAATGAACTGTATCAATCATAATTACATTGTTACTGTTTTAAGTTTTCTGTTGTAGTCATGAAAGTGCTTATCCATTTTTATCATAAATCTTTTAAAAAAAATACCCCCAAAAGAATGTTTATTCAGTTATTCTGAGGAACTTAGAAATGTTTATCATTCCATTAGAACAATATTCTATAAAATATTTTTAAAAGAAAAATATGTCTTCTCTAAACTAATTTAACCTTCAGTAATGAATTATGTGAAGTAAAATTGTATAAAATTCCCTGACATTTTATGAAGATACCTACAAATAAGCCAGACAGCAAATAAAATATCTGAAAGACAGAGATGGATACTCACTAATTTTTTGATGGATTATACACATAGGTATCAAATTACTTGATCCTTACTTCCTAGAAAAGGTTAACGACTCTTTTTGTTTTTACCCTTTTACTTAGCTATTATTTATAAAGATTAAAACAGAGACTACATTGAAGGATGCATATGCCTATGTGTCAGTATGACTCCATAGGTTTTTCTGATATTATAGGGGACTGAGACACCAAATGGATAGCATTGTTAATCATTCTTTTTAAAGTTCATTCAATTCTGTACTACCTGTTCCACTATGGCTGTTAGAGCAGAGTGTGCCAGTCAAAAACCTTTTAACTTAAATGAAACTAGGGAGGACTTTAAATCTTAGTATCTATATCTCTTTTGTCAAAATGGTCCCTGTGTATGCAACACTTCATTTAAAACATTAAGAATGACACGTTTTAAAGTAAGAGATTTTAAAGTTCTTACATGTACAGATTTTTCTTTCCTCTTTAATCAGTATGTTATACATTTGTAAAACCTATTTTTATGTTGAATAAAACTTCACAAAAATATGTATTGTAGTGTTATCAAGCTCCATCATTAATAATTGAACCGTGAGCAACATTAGCATCCACTTATAATGACCATTCATCTATGTTCTACAGTTTCATTATAGTTATTTTAGTATGTAAATGATATATGTTCATTATGTAGCCCATGTTTACTAGTTTTTTATTACCAAATATAACATTACTCTTATAGGAATCTCTCTTTTTCATTGCTTTGGTTTTAAAAGCTGCGCTAGTCCTAAATGTATTTAATTAAAGTTGTGTGGGTATTAGAGCACTTGAGTTTAAAGCAGGGAATATAATACCTTTCCCTGAAGCACCTTGAAAGAGGTTTGTTGAAAGAAGAGAGCTATGGTATTCGTCTAACGCTGACCTCTTCCTCTTACAATCATGGCCAAACTCTTGCTAATTTAACTTGAAACCCATTAGTATAACTCACCACTTTTTGTGTGTATTTCAGGTGTGTGGAGGTCATCGCCAAGGAAGGACAAAACCTGAAAGAGTTGTATTTGGTGTCCTGTAAAATCACGGATTATGGTATGTAATGAGCCATTATCCTAATCATTTTCAAGAATTCAGAGGTACAGAATCTTTGAAAGCTTTTTTAGAAGAAATCAAAAGCTACTATCTCATAGAGTCATAGAGACTGTTTAATCTTTTCTTGTACTAACTCTGATCATACCCCCCAAATCAAGAAATCATGAGAATAAGAACCAGAGTAAAAAGAACGTATGTATATCAGTGTATTACCACACTTAATCATATACACATATGCGCATATACACATTCACATAGGATTAAGAAGTGCGGCTAAAGTTGCTGTACAATGAAAATGAATATCGGGATAATTAAATATTTGATTTAATAAATATAACTAAAGAAATTATTACATTGAGTTGATTTACTTAATTTAAGGTCATGTAAAATGCATTCCTGCTGACATTCGAAATGCCAATCTTGCTAATGCTTTAAATTCTTTAAAGCATTGGAAAATTACAATAGGAAGTATAAATATATAGGAAGTAAAGGATATACATTTGTTTATAAGATTTTAAATTATCTTGATTTTAAATATCCCTTTAAAGTGGAGAAATACAAGTTGTTTTATAAAAACATGAAAAGTATGAAATCATCCTGTTGGAGTAATGAAGGATAATAACTTAGTCTTTCTTTTTTTGTTCTGCTTTATATATTTTTCCTAATAATTTGCATATTTAATCTAAATATACAGTTTTAACCAGATATTTGGCTTATGGAAACTAACATGGTTTCCTTTTCTGTGTTCTTATTGTTTAATTTGTTTGTTTAAATTGGAGAATATACTTTCTACCTTGAAGGAAACTAATAATCCATTAAGTTTTTATTGTTAACTCTGACATATGCTAATAAATGACTCCAATACCTAGGATGTCATACTAACCATCTGCCTTGGGTGGAAGAGTTGTATTTTATTAGCTGCCAAATTCATCCTTTGTTAAAACTCTACCAAAGCTATAATAAAAAATCAAAAATAACATAGAAAAGATTTGGCTTAAAAATAACCCTAATTTCTTTTCAGAGTTTATTTTTTGAGAATGGTAAATGTCTTGCATGGATTTATCCATAATATTTCTGGGTTGTTGGTTTTCTTCTAATTATATCATAAGAAAGGAGTGTCTTGATATATTTTTTTTTCCCTTGTAGTTTGTTTTTTGGTTTGACGTATTAGATCGCCACTTAGATACAGCTCTAAAACCTCCGATATCTCCCTGTTGTCTAGGCCTTAGAGAAAAACAGGGCATATCCTCAGTACCTGTGGATTTGTTAATTAACTAGTAGTACATTCATTCATTCCAGCTTTTCACTTGGCATTCAAGGTCCTTTATCATTAGTCCCCTTCCTGCCGTTCCAACCTCATTTTATATTTCTCCCTTTCACCTGTTTGCTGTCAGCATCAGATTGCTAATTACCAGAAGAGCTATAGATTAAGTTCCTTAGAATGAACTCTTCAATGTCCTGCAGTGGAAAACGTTACGAAAATTATACACTCTGTTCTAGTACCTGTTAAGTTAGCCAGTGCAAAGAAGTGTTCCAGAAGGTATGGAAAAGACAAAAAGCTTTGCGCTTGGGACAGATCTGGGATCAAGTTCTGTCTTTGTTCTTTGTTCTTTGACGTTAGGGAAGTTCCCTCACATCTCTGAGGCTGTTTCCTCATCTGTAAATTGGGGAAATAGTATTTGACTTCATGCTCCTGTGTGTACTGGTACCCATTCTAAAGAGCAGCACAATGTATACTGCTGAGAAAATTTGCTTTCCTGCAGGAGGGGGACAGAGCAAAGATTCAAGCAAGATTCTTCCACCGTCTTTCCTTTCCTCGGAAGGAAGGTCTTGAAAGAGGCTTTTGTTGTCATTGTTGCTGTTGTTTACTGTTATTATTTATTTCTGTTGTTTAGCGATTTTCCCATGTTCTGGTGTTGTGAGATTTTAGGATGTTTTTTCTCTCAGTGAGGTGAAAACTGTGTTAAAACTCCACTCGTGTGGTTTGCGTTTATTCGTATCTCTGAATTATTTAGGTCAGTGGTTCTCAACCCTCTCTGCACATTAGGATCATGTGGCGAGTTTCTAAGGCATAATGATAATGCTCGAACTTTACACAAGACTAATTACATCAGAATTTCTAGGAGGTGGGGCCCAGGCCATAAAACCTGCCTAAGTGACATTAATGTCAGCCGAAGTTGAGAACCACTGATCAAGTCCAGCTGAGAGGAACGCGAAGGGAAGATTTTGAGGGCTTGCCTCCTCCACAGTAATGAAAAATCCATCACAGTTTTTTCGTACCTCATTCCCTCCAGGTTTCAAGCTCTCTGTCTGCCCCACCTCTCTCTTCCTTCTTTCCTGAGATTTCAGACATTCAAAGGATTTATAGTGAAAGTCTCTGTGTGTCATCTGTTGGTTTGTTCTTCAAAATGTTGGGGCATAACTGAGGACGAGGGGGAAAGGCCAAGAGTGTATGAGATTGTACTGTAATTGCTACTTGATTATAAAATTGAAAGAAATTACTGAACGTCAGCTCATCTTTTTTCCCCTGGTGTCATGCCAATAACATGTGAACAATTTTTGTCAAAAGGACAGCAAGAAGGATTATTCATTGTAACCAGAGAAACAGCATTGTTCTTGGAAAGAACTGCTCTGCTGGGGAGGCTGTCCGTGATCCCTTGTCCTGTGTTGATTATAAATTTTAAGAAGGAAAAGCAGATGCTTCTTTCCTTCTTTAACTGGATAACTAGAGACACATTCTGTAGGACTTTTTGATTACTGAGGCGACTTAGAAATTATAAAATCTGATGTACACCTGATGCTGGAGGATTTCATCCTTCAAGAGACGACTCCCTAATTCTGCTTCCGATTGCTTTACTCGAATTCCAGCTAGTCTCCTCCTCATCTCCTCTGTCTCTGGTGCTGTGTTTGGCCCTGCTTTGTGTACAGAATATTGAGATTTTTAATGGTTTTTACAGAATGCATGGATTCAGAAAGAGCAGCTCGCCTGGCATATCATTTGTAATTTTTGTCAAGATTCTCACAGATGTTGAATGTGGTATTATGGTACTGAGCAACACCTGGCCAGGCTGCTATGAAGTTATGTTCATTTTAATTGATACATGATACAGTTGTCATGAAGAAAACTATCATCCTAATGGGCTTCTTATTTCCCAAATTGAACATAGATCTTTACTGGTAAAAGATAGCAATTATAAACAAATCAATAATTCAGGCACAGCTAAATGGAAAACACAGTCTTGGGAAGTTGCTCCCTAAAGAGAAATTTAGTATTGTCACTATTCTATCACTAAAGAAATAAATGTTTTAGTCTGTATCAAGGAAAAAAGCTCAAACTTAGGAGTTGGAGAATTAGGTTAGAATTCCAGTGTTGCCTCTTCTTTCCTTTGTGACCTTGAGCAGACCTCTTTACTTAACCTCCTAGTTTTGTCATCTGTTAAATACGTGATGATACATACCATAAAAGGTAGAGAAAGTGAACGTAAAACATCTGTGTCATGCCTGGTGGTGTAGTGGATACTCAATAATTGGCAGTTCTCATAATCACAGAATTATCTCTTTGAAGAAGAATCAAGGCTCCTTCTCCTCCAAGTGTGGCTTTCTGTTTGTGGGAGTCATTATCTAGAAATTTGACCTGTGTTAGTCTACCTGCCTAGCTGACTTCCATACCTAAGCTGTCTATCTGAACGAGATTTTTATTAGGAGGAAATAAAAAGAAAGATACAGCAAAAAGTTTAAAATTTTAAATTTGTCTCCCTGTCTTAGGTTTCTTCCCTGTCTCTTCTCTATGTTACCTTCATTTTTGTTTAATTTTCTCTCATCTCCCCTTAAGTTTTTCTTTGTTCTTACAATCATGTGTCAACTGATAATTTCCAGTCTACCTTTCTGTTCACCTTCAAACACTTTTCTGTTGAAAATTCTCCTTTGGAAAAGTGTATCCTTAGGATTAAAAGGAAGACAAGGAGTAGAAACCAGCTTGTATCATTCAAGCCTACAGAGGTCAGAGCCAGTCTCACTCGGGCTGCAAGGCACAGAACATGTGATGTAATAAATGGGATGGAAGAATAAAGCTCTGATCTCCGTTAGTGTCTCCACAGTGAAGGTTACCCGTGTGACCCTGGGTCAGGGAGCCGTTATAAAAAGGACCCAGGTTTCCTCCTGGGCTGTTATCACAATTCCTTTGACTTTAGCACTCCCGAGGGCCCTTAAAATACACTCGAAGGGATATCTTTTTGCTCGCCATCTCAAGTTGTCAAATAACCTTTAACTAAAGAGGACTGTAAACACTCAACTACTGACATGATGTTTGGGGCCTACAAGATCACTGACAAGCCACAGGCTCACTCTGGGCGACTCCACCTCACCCTCTGCCTCTCCCACGGGCCCTGGGGCTGCACTCCCAGGACGGTCCTCGGTCCTTGGCTGCCCCTTGCTCCACTTACCAGTGCTCTTATGCCTGATCTGGGACTTTGAAACCTAACTCCAAAACAAAGCTTGCCATGAAAGCTTTTGGGTTGCTTTGGGCAAAAGGTCTTCCAAGACAAGGTCACTGTTCCTGAGGTTATCATGTGAGATGTCATTTCAGTTGGCCTGCCACACGACCGACATGAAATACATTCATTCTGTCAACACATATTGTTTCAGCACCTACTATGTGCTGGTTCTGTGCTACATGCAGAGCAAGCCGTTTCTGCCATCCTGGAGCTTTCGTTCTGGTGCTATCCAGAGGACAGGGCTAGCCTGCTTATTAAAAAAAAAAAAAAGAGGGAAGAAAAAATAAAAAAGAAGGAAGAAAAAAAAAAAGGTAATGCGTCTCCTTCCAGACAAGAAGAATGGTGGGGAGTGTCTTCTGACATTAATCTTTGCTTTGGCCTAACCCATGCTTCACCCAGCCTTTTTGACCTTCTAACGCTATTGAAAGATTAATAGGTTATGTGTTCGCTACCTTTTATTGGGATACCAGGCCTCTTTAGCTATGAGTTAATCCAAAATGAGATCTG